GAATGAACATTGGGCTTCAAGCTAGAGCTTTGAAGTTTCAGTAGCAGTGGTGTTTAATTTACGGGATGGGGTTGCTAGCATCATGTCCAACCTTCCCCCATTACCAGTCTTATTACTGGCTTAGCGAGTTAATGGAGGATTGCGTCAGTGGCCGGGGATCGAACCCCGAACCACCTGCATGGTTAGCGGGCATTCTACCGCTGTACACTGACGCACAAAGATGCTAATGATATTCAATAATAAGTAATTACACTATTAGTTCAAATAAAAGCTGGTTTTTAATGTGTGTTTTGTGATCGGAGTAAAACTGTCAATGAATCATGTAACACACACACACACACACAATATGATTATCAATCACATTCATAGCTTTTTGATTACATATTCGGGTTTTACAAGTTGATGACTGACTCATCGATCATTTCTTTTAATCCAAGATAATTCAGTTGTCTGACTTAAAATAAGTTACTTTTCTACTTTAAAGTTTTATTTGTATATTTAATGAATCATTTATTGTTGTAACTGTCATATCGGATAAATAAGATTTAGGTTCTTTTTACTAAGGTTATTTTACTTTAAGAAAGTATATTTGTGTTTAAGTGTTTGGTTTACGGGGGTATGTTTGATTTTATAGGGGTAGCTGTCTTCATCAATGAACAACCTAAGAGAACCACTGAAAACCAAAAAGTGTAAAGCGACTTCTTCATTTTTATCTTAAACTGTTCAGTATAGCACATATACAATTCTCCACTTCTATTCATTGAACTGAAATTTCGGTGATATAAGTACAACTACCATCTAGTATTATCCGTAAGTAACCGCACTCTTACCTAACTTTTGTCATCACTACACTGGTTATAATTTTTCACATGGACTCTAAGTTCAACTGATGGTACTTTCATAGGCGTGATAGTTTCATAAATATGTGTTCATATATAGTAAAGGTGACGCCAGCAACCCACTCTGTTATTATTATTCCCTTAGGTTCCAAGTGGAATCTCTATTTCCTCCTGTTGTCTGCAATCCTCTCTAGCTACCTCCACGATCACCTATAAGCTCTCATCTCCACTTCACACGATCTCCTTTGTGTCACTCTCGAACGCACGCTCAACCTGTCATTTTCCATTCGGATTCCACTCGAGGGCCTGCATGATGTCACTCAACGGTTTCCTCAGCGTGTGTCCGACCCATCCATCACCATTTCCTTCTGCTTACTTGTTGGACTATAGGTTCTTGGTTGGTTCGTTTCCAGGGTTCCTCGTTTCTGACAGGCCATCTTACCTCCAATGTGGAGCCAGTGAAGGCAGCTCTGTTGATAAAAGTCTTCACTGGCCTGTTGGAAATCGTTTCGGCGACACGCCAAGTCTCTGACCCATAAAGAAGCACTAACTGACTTTAACATTAGTATTGAAAATGTCCACACTATGCCAACTTACAGCCTAACTAAAAACACTGTAGAATTAGTAATATGCACAGATCGTTTCTCCCATGGCCTACACGTTTAAATGTGGGACAACAACATAAGGAGGTCAACTAAAACGAATAGTTTAAAATTGTGTTCCCTGATGATTAGACACACAGTGAGGTAGTTTCAAGGACAAAAATGCACAATTCATTTACTGCATACTATTATAGTGACATAGTAATCATAGGCTAACACAGTCAACAGAAAATACTTGGCTTATGAGAATGCATTGATAACTTTGAAAAATCTAGTAAGTAAAATCCAAAGTTTAGAGAATGGTGAAATTCTATTAGGATATTCACAATCTTGATCTGCGAGTAAGAAGATTATGCTTACAACTGCTGCTTAGAACCTGGCAAAGAAGAGTGCATACTCAGTTTTAAACACTACTAAACAAATTAATGTGGAATTATAAACGATCGCAGTGCCCTAGGTCTAATATCCTAAGCTCATATTATAAACTTGAAATATATACTACTGAATTATGCAGCAAGTAGTTAGACACTATTCAATTAGATTAGCTGATTTTCAGCAAACCACATGAAAATGATTTAACTTCATTCGTTTTTAGGTCAATTATGATTTTCCCATTGATTGATTTGACCAAGATGTCCAACCTCTGCTGAAATGTCGGCTCCTGGTACGGACGTTATGACAATGTTGGAGGATTAGCATGAAGTAATTTAGTGGGGGGGCTGAACATTTCGCTTCAATCAATCAACAGGAAAATAGTAGCTGATTCCCGTTGCACAAAAAGTGGCTCTCGTCGTCCAACTGGTCTAGTGGATAACGTTCTGGCGTTCAAAACGAAGGGTAATAGGTTCGAGTCCCAGTGAGAACAACATCACTCCACTGGGGAATAATACAGATACATCCAGCTGACAAGTCCTCCAAATGAAGAAAAATATACACATCATGGATTCCACCACTGCTAGTCACCGTCCACTGAACTAATTCAATGATTTTAACTTTGTTAAAAAAACACTGTTAACCCTGTTTCAACATTCTGAGGCAATGAACAGAAGTACACAAAAATCTGCTTCGAAAGACTGAGTTTTACACGAAGCCTACACGAAGTATCGCATATTAGGCACGTAATTGTTTCCGTGTTGACATTCAACAAACTACATTGTCAGTAGGATTCAGTTTTTTGCCTTAAACAACAAAGTGAAGTAAGTCAGTATCAGTAAGGCGGAAAAATTGCGAAAAAAGGTCAGCACAGTGCCTACTTCCAGAAAAAGCCTAAGAGGATAGTACATTTTAAGAAATCTAGCAAACACGAACAAAATTAGTTGGAAATCACATAAATTATCTACAGACTAAATACACATATTCCGCATTAGTATTTCTCAGAGTCAAAGTAATATCAGCAATTCTCTCCTCAGAAATCAAACAAACAGAATTAGCTGGATGGCGGTAAAAGGTTTTAGTGATAAGAGTGGATGGCATAAACCTATATATACATACATAAAGACCTTTGGTATTTTAATTTTAATTATTTCCCTGACCTGAAGTTCGTATCAGTTTGAAGAAGGAAATGTTGCAATTATTTATTTCAATATCGGTGAGATTTATACAAATATAATTTTTACAGGTCACTTAGTGCCTAATGTTTAGGAAACTATTAGGTTAAGTCTTGATCAGAATTCATATAAACAAACACCAAATTATACTCTGATTGATCACTAGTTAGTAACTAGTGTAATGTGTCTAGTCCTTTTTCTTTTGGTGCAGACTAAATTTTATCAGTCAAGTGTACAATGTGACAACTGGGTGACACGGGTTCGAATCTCAGAAGGGACATGAATTCCTTCAAGGTTGCAGATACGCTTTGCTGACTGGTGAGTGAATGCTGGATAGCACGAAACCTAGGTCGAAGGCTTCCTGCCGATTGCTTCCAACCATCTAATACCAAATTATGCTCACTAAGAATGTACAAACTAAGAGTATTATATGAAAGAGAGAAAACATTACCTACTCAATCCAATTCGTGTAAGTAATGTCTCCTCTGAGATGTCAAAATGAAGATCAGTAAGACAAGACACACCTTCATTAATCTGAAACCAGTCTAGAAATCTACTGCGCTAAGTATAAAAATTAAAACTAGTAATTTCAACACTAATGTTAAGTCAGTCAGTCAGTTCTTTTGATGTGCTTCAGAGACTTGCACCGCGTGTCACCAAAAGCATTCTCAACAGGCCAGCTACCGAGATGTCTTCCTTCAGTTTTTTATTGATTCTGAGGCAACTATTTTTTTTGTATATAAACCAAATATTTCTTGTTTTCCTGTCAAAAATTCACTGATTAGGTGTATATATTTTTAGTAGTTCACCACAGACATCAAACCATTCGACGACTTATATACACCCTTAAAATAGACTATACAACAACACAGTAGAAATGATAAAGTTTATGGAATTTACCTTAAAAGAAGTTAGTTACAAGTCATGCGCTAACTGTAAAAGCAAATTATAACTAACACTCATCTGTGTGTGGGGCAGCTAAAAAGGTTTAAACTTCAATATGACAAGGTAAGTGGTGAGTGAGTGAGTTAGCAGTTGTGGTTATTCGAGAATTATCAGCACAATTATATAAGAACAAATTGATTCCTCTCTAACTGATATATCACTCTCTCTCTCTCGCTTTTCCCACCCCTCTTCTGTTTACAATTATTCAGATCATTAAAAATGGGACAAATTTTCACAATGATGAGAAACATCAACACACACACACACAAAAGACAAATAAATTCATTAACATGTTTAAGACGCGTCAGTGGTTCAATGGTAGACTGCTCATCGACCCGATGATACATGTACTCCGAGTTCAATTTTCCCGCCAACACACACACACTCATAAACCTAGCGGGCTTAACGAGTGAGTAAGTAAGTAGTAAGCTCGGTAAAGAGGGAAGATCACGAATGAGGCTAACAACTTCCCCATGTCTGTGATGATGAAATCAACACATCACACACGCACACAACCGCCCCCACCCCCATACCACCCACGCAATGTCCCACTCGGAACACAAAAGAATGAGGAGAGATAAAAAAAAAGTGTTTAAATGACCGATAATTAACTGACTGGCCCTATTCAGGCAGTTAACCTGGGGTTCTAGTGGGAAGCCGTGACCAGTAGGGTACAGCAGGTTGAAGATGTGACAGTAACTCATCTAAGAAGACATTGCGAAATGGTCGCGCTATGTCGTGAATTGGCAGAAGTTAGAATTCATGTGCTGGCCATTGGATCGGGTCCCAGTGGCTCAATGGTCTACGAGCTCGCTAGCGTTGTAACCAGAAGGTCCTGGGTTCGAATCCCGGTGGGTGCGTACTGATGAAGAGTCCCAAACTAGGACGAAACAGCTGTCCAGTACTCCCAGCTGGTTTTCCAGTGGTTCTCCAACTGATGTCAGCTCATGATGAAATCCTCCATACAATTAAACAAAATCCCTACCAAATCAATACTTGACATATATATATACATGAAATATTTTTTGATTCTGCTTACCTGACATTTATTTATATATATTTTTTCCTTATTGAGAATTGGTTGTCCAATTAATACACTTCCACCCAGAGGATGATGATGATGACGATAACGAGGGTGCCAATGTAACTAGCTTATTATTATTATTCTTCTTCTTCTCAAGAGCAAGTAGAATAGTTGACTGTGGAATAGTTGTTCGAATTGTTGTTGTTGCTGCTGCTGTTGTTGTCGTTGATGTATCCTCCTCAGTAAATTGTCGTGACGAGAATAGTTTTTGTATATAATAGTAACACCGTAACTTCCTGTAGACCTCGTAAATAAATATAGGCTCGCTAAGAGCATTTTTTTTTATGATAGAAAAGGGGGAAAAGAATATGTCAATGTAGTAAATAAATAAATAAATATTACAAAGAATGGTTATAGTTTTTGTACATTGTATAATTTACATGACAAAATAAACACCCTTTTGTAAGTGTTTACGCAAGTGAGTGAGTGAGTGAGTGAGCGAGCGAGCAAACGCGCGCGTGTGTGAATGACTGACTGACTGATAGTGACTGTACGTACACATGATACAATAAAAATGTCAATATTTTCTACATACTTTTCGTATATATATATATATATATATATATATATATATATATAAAAGTGAACATGTCAAGGTTTTTAAAGATTAAGTAAGTTCTGGTTGAAAGGTAAGTCATGTGATGAAAGATATAAAGAGAAAAGATCAAACAATAAAGAAAATAGATAGTTTGAATTGTACACACCCACACACCCACACACACATATACACATAAATATAGAATAACTAATGTAATGCGATGAACTCTATTCATATAAACAGTAAGTGCTATCTAATTTCTGTTCACTATTAAAAATACGGTTGTATTAATTTTACTCTATGATGAACAATCTCACTAACATCTTCATTTAATTTAGACGAAAACAAACATGATAATATTTAAAATGGAATTTTAGATTTTCCCGTACATCCAGCTGACTGATGAGTCCCAAATAGGACGAAATGCGCATCCTGGATTCCACTGCTAGTCACCATCCACCAATTAAACATGATGATAATATACTATAAAATTCTGGAATAATATGTAGATGGATGGTGAGTGACTAGGCAGTGGAATCCAAGATGCGAATTTCGCCCCCCCCCCCAACTTGTTACTCGTCATCTGTCCCCAGTGAGATTCGAATCTAATACCCATTGTTTCAAACGCTGAAGTGTTATCCATTGGACTAGTTGGGTCAGTAACAGCCACCTCCGTACAACAGGAATCAGTTATATTATTTGTTTCAAGTCGAATTCGATTTCCTCATCAACATTAATCACTTGGGGGAGGAGGGGGGGGATGAGGGTAAATCCATGTACATCCTGGATTCTACTGTTAGCCACCAACCACCAAAATTACTTCAAGTTGATCGTTAGACATCGTTATAGCGTCCGTACTGGGCGCCGACACGTACGTCCATAGAAGTCGAACACTTTGGTCCAATCGATCAAAAGGCGGAAATGAAAATTGAATTAGAAACAAATATAATACACAGGTGGGTTTGCATTTAACCACCACCTTCAAGCGTAAAAAATACACCTATACGTCAGTTCGCCTGGATAGTTCACAAAAGAAGAGATGATAATATTACAGAATTAATCCTTATCCATAGCAGACATTGTGTAAAGAACAAGTAAAACCAGATAGAATGTCTATGAAAAGGCCTACTGACAATCCTTGCTGGTGTATTGAATTCACAATCACTAGTTCTCAGTGCAAACAGTTAACAAGTAAGAGCTGTTAGATGCGATTCAGTCGTTGGTGCTTTCTTGAATTCTGTTTCAAAATGAATAAAGGACATGTCAAACCAAGAAATGTTTTCATCAAAATGATCTTTCTACCGTCTTTTTCTTTTAGAAAAAATTCCTACAGAAATTAAAAGTATGTCAGAACTAGTGCAGATATGAGTTGTAGACACTTAAGGAACTGCTAAAGAGTCCCATATTAGGCCGAAACAGCTGTCCAGTGCTCTCTGATTTTCAATGATATCTACCTGGTGTTGGTTTGTGACGAATAAGTGAAATAAAACTAATGGAACCATCAGCAGTGTGAAGACATATCGATGACCTCTACACACCATATCTACAAACACCCACAACAGTGGATAATTAATTCACTGCCTTATAGTAAAGAAAGGATATTTGTCTACTCACTAGGATTCGAGTCCACAACTCGCAATCGGACAGCAGAGACAGCTGTTAACAACAACTGAAGACATCCCCAAGCACTTGGTTTTATTCAGTCGAAAGAATCTCATTAACACTAAGTATAATACTCAACTTTATTGATCAGAAAGGAATGATAATGAAAGAAATCCAACTTCTTTCTAAATTTCAGCAATTCCTTCAGTTCAGAAATCTCTGAGACAACTTATTTCATGCAGCCAGATAAGTGGAGAGAAAAGCCGTTAGACGAGAGAGAGAGAGAGAGAGAGAAAGAAATCAACCGCACCATTTAATCAAGTTTAGAGATACCTAATAGAAGATAACTGGAGTTAAATCACATCTTCCAGACTTTGATGAAGTAAGCTTTTCAACATTTAACCAATAGATAAAAAATTCCGCATTTTCCCCAATTCCCATTTCTCTTCGTTTAAGTTGTAGTTCTTCAGTATTATTATCAGGAGGCATGTTTCTTCCACTTTTATAAAATGAATGACCACCACCACACATGAAACTGATCGAAATGTTTAACACAATGTACAAAATTCTCAAGGTAATTCACTGCATAAAATTTTCTTTTCATCTAGAATCTTTAAAAAATAGAAAAGCTGTCTATAGTATATCATAAGCATCGATTCATCCCGCCTAACGCTTTCCCTTCATCCTATCGAAATGCACATCGGCAGTTTGAAGGCCAGTTTTAAAAAAGTGTGCCTGACTACATTTTGCGACTCTCTCTCTCTCTCTCTCAAGGACATATTTTGAATGGTTAAAACAATAAGAATTAGAGAAAAAATGGCGCATTGTGTAGGGTGGAAATTCAAGTAGCTCAGTGTGATTCAACCAGTCCGCTTTCACTACACCGTAGTAGTTATACTTCCACCAATGAATTTCTTGAATGAAATATCACACTAAGTTATATGAATGACAAATATGATAACTGTTCAGCATTAATAGCCTAGTTATTCACCTATTTTAACTGACAACAAATAAATACAATCAGCAGTTAACTTGTATTTTACATAAAGGCCAGTAATGTTACATACATTAAACCAAAAACTTTTCAGTTTAGACTGATAATAATCGAATGGTTTAAAGTTATGTACTCAAACCAATCAGCTTATTGTCTATCTCTACCTATCTATCTGACGTCAACAGAACTATGCTTAAACATAAAATAGAAAAAATAAGAGATACATGAGTTCGGTGTCTTATATCTCAAACGACCTAATTTGAGCTATTACTAATACTACTACAACTAAGTCACTCTGTGAGTAGGTGGTTCAGGGGACACCACACACGTGGTCCCAGTTCGATTCCCAGTCGACACACTTCTGAACCTTACCTGATTTACTAACACATAGATAGTAAGCTTGAAAATGAGAGAAGATGGTTGAGTGTGAGGTTAGCGACCTCATCTCGTCAAAAAAGACCTTCTAAAACTTCAAAACTTAAAACTTGAAGCCCCATACATGTTCCATACTTGGAATGCAAAAGGAATGACAAAATAAAAAGAGAAGAACAAAGTCACTCCATGCAGAAGAGATAGTGGTGACCCAAGAGTAATAATATATGAACAGCCAAAAAAACAAAACGCATTAAAATACTCAAGAGTTTAGAAAATAAATAAATAAACAAAACAATATTACTAAACTAACCTGTTGTTGACGTAAAAATAACGAATTACTCAATTTAAAATAAATCTACTTTGACCATGTGCAATTTAATTAATAGGTGTTCAAAAACACTTGCTTACAGGTAACCTTATGCAATAAATAGTGACGATATTATTAAACAATGTGATAATAACAGTGTTCGTGAATTGTGTTCACTGATCAACAGTCTTTGTATTTACCAATTAAATTAATAATAATAACTCTTTTTTATTTAATAAAAGCATATTACAGATAAATTATAAAAGAGTTAGTTCATTAAGTTAACACTGATATCCATTGAATATGACCTGCATATAATATATACATATATATATATATATATACATGTATTTATCAATAAATAGAACATCTTTATAATTACTGGATTAATACACCAAGCAGACTAGAGTAATACTCAGTACTGATGTAAATGCGATAAAAACTTCCATTTTCTAATTCGTGATAATCAACACTTTTCTAGAATTTAACAATGCTAGTCTAATTACACAGATCACTTACTATTATTAAAACCCAAATTAATTATTGCCTATAGACATCAATGGCCCCCAGTTAGCTCAGTCAACAGAGCATCATAATTTTGTGCGATAGTGATGGTTCAGCAGAAGAACATTTGGCAACCACGCCTCACGTGATCCGGGGTTCGATCCCCGCGGCCACCGACGCACTCCTAAAACCTCACTAAGCCGGTAAAGAGGGAAGGTGTCGGGTGTGAGGCTAGCAACCCAATCCTGTAAAAAAAAATAAAACCACTACTGCTACCGAAAATTCAAAGATCTAGCTTGAAACCACATCTTCCACTGGGAGGAACGTAAAGGAATAGAAATAAAATAATAATAATAGTAATAGTAATAATAATAGACATCGACACACTATTGTCATTGAAAAGTGTATCTTATGCTTTGACATCCGCTAATAAAAACTTATATCCGCAAGTCAAACGAGTGTCATTCAACACAGAAATAGAAAAAGAAAGAAGTTTAATATTTTCACTTATGAGAACATTAAATAGTTCATAAATGATACATACAGATTGTTGAAAATACACACGCAATAATCTTCAACTGGGAGAGAATGAAAGTTAAGACGAATAAGGTGAATAAGGATTTCTACACAAGAAAGGCTGTTTTCACTTTGATAAGGACGAGAAAATTTAACTGAAAGTGATCAGCACTCCTCTCTCTCTTTCAAAAAGTCTCAGTAACTAATGTAACTTGATGAATTCGTCATAAAATCAATCTATGTCAAAAAGAAGAACAACTTTGACAACAACAGCAACAACAAAAAATAAACTATTTTAGCAGGAAATACCAATCTCAAATTATTAGTTTCTGCTTATATTATAATACTAGCAATATATTTCAACACAGTTGTTCAGTTGAAAGACAAATGCTTACAGCCAACAAATCTATGCAATTTCACAGTTTCCCAC